CCAGAGGACCTATACAATTTTTTTCCTTTTGATTTTTTATCTGGATTACTGAGATGCATCAGGACATTTATAGAACATGGAAACTTTTTTTCAGCGGGCGACCGCTCCCCCTTCTCCTCGAACGATTGGTTGAACCAGTGAGACCGGACATTTTATTTAGTCACACTGTTAGGAAATCAGGTTGCTCTCTAGAGCCCTGATACAATATTGTTAATATTGCCCAGCCCTAAGGGCCGTACATACTTGCACACATCCAGGCTAAAGGCCTTTGCATTCTCCATCCAAACTTCTAAAATCATCTCTCATTGTTGCAGTTACTTGATGGGAATCACATAACTCTGCTCGTAGCTTTGAATCTGATGCCCCATCTTGTCACAATCCATCAGGAGAACTTTTTACACCCCTCCACACAAGAACTTACTGAGACGTTGGTCAGAAGTTCGTGGCCATGTTTGTTTATGCTGACAGCCATCAGACGCTACATTTTGCTTCAACCACTTGCTTCCAAAAAAAGAAAAGAAAAAATTTACTCGTTCCAGAAGCTGACTGTTGTACCCAGAAGCAGTCATTTATAAAGATAGTCAAATGGCCAAATACTCATAAATGGAGATTTAAAAAAAAGACGTTTTGTATGGAGAAATTCATCTGCAGAAAAGTTCGGAGCAAGTTTTTTTCTTTCTTCTGGAGTGCAGACTCCAGTGGAAGGAACCCCATGGAGTGACGTATCCCGCAGCGGGAGGGGGTTTCCCAGGAACACAGCTCAGTGTGTCTCAGGAGCTATGAAAGTTGCGTGTGAAAATGAACGCCGTACAATAGGGCTGCAACTAACGATTATTTTAAAAATCGATTAATCATTGCAGCCCTACCATACAACCACATTCTGACTGTTAGGCTTCGGCTGGAGTATGTGGAGACTTTAAGCATCCCAACAGAACCGCCCTYCCTCCTTATCAAATCCTCCTTACCCACCGCACACCCATGGAAGTTGTTCGCCAGGCTTAGCAAGTTTTCTGGAGGAAACCCTGTATGTAAACATTTATATAATATATGTATTTAAATACATTTCTTTCAGCCTCATCGAAAGAAGAAATCATTCATTAAAAAGAAGGAAGCTGTGACCTTTCACCTTGTCCACAGAAGTCAGAGGGACCCTCTGGCTGCAGATGAGAAAGCTCCTCAACATGTTCTCCTGCAGGCCACAAAGGTACAGATTACTGCTGCTAATAGATAAATAAATATAAATATGTATTCACTTAAAGTGCTTGTGATGTCATGTTTTTGTAATACATATGAATGCATTTTTAGAAAGAGGACATTAATAAAACATTGCAAAATAAATTTTATGTTGCTGAGATGAACAGTTGTTGAGATATTTTCCAGTGAAGTAACAGGAAGTGATGTCAAAGGGGAACGTCGGCATTTAAACAGAGCGTTGCTACAACAGCTAACAACACAGACTGTAGAGAAGAATCTGGTGTTTAAGATTATTTTGAGTCACTATCAGAGAGAGATGAAGAAGAGTCAGAGTTCAAATAGTATTTTTTTTTCAGTAAACAAAGACCAAGGAGCTTTCTTTGTTAAAGAGTTCCCCTTTGATGTCACTTCCTGTTTCACTTTGGCTGAGTGAAGTTCAAAAGAAAATRTGCCAGTTATGGGACAAAATGGGTTAAATCGTGTGTATTATTCCAACTTTCTCAAATATAAAGATGTTTTCTTTTTGCATTTGAAGACTATGATGTCAGACACTAATTTTCTTTAAATTGATCTAAAGAAAGATCAGCTCTCTACATCTGATTTTGAAAGTATCACTGTGGCCATGTTTCCCTTTGTTGTCCAGGTGGAAGCAGAGAAGCGACGTGAAGAACAGAGAAAGTTTGGTGTTTTCTTTGATGATGATTACGACTACCTGCAGCACCTCAAAGAGTCATTGGGTTCCTCAGAACTGGTTGCAGCTGAACCCTCGTATCTGGACGAGGGATCCTTTCAGCTTAGAGATGAAAAGGACGAGGTGCAGACAATCGTGAGCACGGAGGTTCATGTGAGTTAACTTCAACAATAATTCCTCTCATGAAAATAAGACTGAATATTTTACGTTAAGTGACATGTCTGATGTTCAGTTTATACAGCTGATCAACAAGTTGATAGTAGGCATGGGTCGGTATGAAATGAAGGTATGATAACCTTGGGCAAAAATATCACGGTTTCGCAGTATGACGGTATTATAATTACAGCTCTAAAAATTTTGTTTTGAAATTTGTGTTTAAAAACAAAAAGAAAATAACTTTTCTATTATCATATTCAACTTTAATTATCTTTGGAAGCTGTTTTTAGATCTCAGAGGTGTTATGCTGAAATTTTATTTACCTGTGTGCATCTGTACTTATGATTTTTAGCACCTAATGCAATTAGTTTATCCTGGTAAAGTTTACATCTCATAGGATAACTGCTTTTCTATTGCTTTATCAGTTAAGACAAATCAGTGTATATGACATCTTTTTATTGAAGTAATGTATCACATTGAGAGTTTTTATTGTGTTTTAAATTTCAAAAGGGTTTTTGATGTAAAGATTATATAATTATATGCACACAGAAACAAGAAATAGCAACTATGAATGCGTGTTTATGAAACGCTGTTCAGTTAATAAGCTGATCGGCTAAAGGAGGCATTCAGTTTTATCACCTTTCACTTAAAACTTACCAAATACACAATCTGTGATCAGCGCATTAAGCCACAGCAACACAGTGAAATGTTTCACAATCTGATGCTAAAGTTAGCTCGTTCAAAGATAGCATAACTTTACCTGGAGCTGCGATCATGTTAGATGCCTCCACAGTCCACATTGCTGTCATCTTTACAGCATCCTAAGTTTTTTCATATAGCTGGATGGATGGATTTCATACCACGGTATACCTTGAAACCGGTATTCGGCCCATGCCTAGTTGATAGTGAAGCTGAAATTTATGATGCTGTGAACTTTTGATGAAGTTGTGATTTAAAAAAATCTAAAGCATGCAAAAAGCTCTTAACTGGTTCTTGTTTTATTTGATGAACAGGAAGCTACAATCCACTTACCTTCTTCAGTGTTTGCGTCAGAGTTTGAAGAAGAGGTTGGACTTCTGAATAAAGCGGCACCTGTTTCAGGTAAATTAGTTCAGAGAGAATCTGGTAGTTTTTGACACCAGATGTTATCATGAGTAGGCCTGTCACAATAAACAATAAATCAATTAATTGTATGATAAATTAAAATGCAGACAATAATTTCATTTGCCTKCTTTTTTCCTTCATGTCTCCCTTTTTTTACTTCTTAGCGTAGAGAGCAGTGAACTCTGGTGTCAGGTATTTGCCAGGTGCATGGTCTCCTAACCTGTAGCATTAAAGCCCTGTGAACAGGCATTTAACCAGAGGAGAATCTTCCATTTTCTGACACCTTCATGCAGACAGTGACGCCTTGGGATTGCTAACAGTTCTTTTTTTCTTTTTACACTATTTAAATTTTAATGTAAACTTCAGTAAACAGGGGTTGTTATATCATTATATTAGTTTAAACTGGTCTCCAACAATATTATCATTTATCGCAATAATTTCCGAGACAATTTATTGTCCAGTAAAATTAGTTATCGTGACAGGCCCAATCATGAGCAGATTTTTGGAATGATATTTGAAAACCAGCAGTACTTTTTTAAGGCTGCACACTTAGTGTTTATTTATAGGGATGCACGCTATATTGGCAATAACATCGTTATCGGCCGATATTGGTCATTTTTTTTAGAATATCTGCATCGATCCGATATGTAAAACTGGGCCGATATTAACGTCCGAAATGGATTTCCCACTTTTTATCTTTGCATTTCTGTTTTGGGAGGGGAGACGGTTGGTTGAGCAGCATCTGGTTGATCATGATGGTGATATTGACGCTGCGCAGCCAGGAATAACTGAAGTAGGGAGCCATGTCAGAAGTCTGGTTGTTTATTTGTGGTATCAAAAAAGACCCAAGTGTGTTTGTGCAAATATGTATAACATAATTTGTGTGTTTGTGTAAATAAATATCGGTTATTGGCCATAACAGCAATAATTATGTCGGACATTGATATCGACTGAAATTTTCATATCGGTGCATCCCTATTTATTTATTAATAAATACCAACTGTGTTTATTAAGGATCCCCATTCTTTGTAGTGAGTTGGTAGGAGAGAAACATAAAGGGTGATTAAGGGTTTCTGACCTACACTACACTTTTTAACCTGTTGGTGCACCAGATCAGATATACTGATCAATAAATATTCACCCGTTTTAATCAGACTCATATTTACCAAAGTGTGAGATCATATAAAATGCAGGGAACTCTTATCTCAGGCCAAAATACTCAAAGATGAGGAACCAGCTTTGTCTTTTATGGTAATTTATTACAAAAATACAGCAAGAATCAATTTCATTGAGTCCAGTGGAAAAAACAAGTGCTGGTACTATTGGACAGAAACATACGTAATGTTTTGATATAGATCAATCTATAGATCTAGAGTTTTATTACAGTGAAATGACAAAGAACAAAGTCAGTTCTAAATCAAGTCCACAAGAGTCACACTCATCACTGTTTTTGTTGTCCAAGTTTCTTAGAGCTCATAGTACCTAATTATTTTTACTCTGTTACATTTACTTGAGTAACATTTAGGGGGAAAAATGTACTTTTCGAAGTAGTTTTACTGCATCATACTTTTTACTTTTACTTGGGTAATACTATGAAGTATCACTTATTTATTGAGTAAAACATCTGGATACTCCACAGGCTATACTTCACTAAAAGATGAACAAATCTGTTTTAATCAAATCTGCACCTGATACATGTTTCAAAACCAACGTTGCGTGAAAATGTGTGTAAATATACGCACACTTTTCACCTGCCACGAGAATGTGCGGCAGCCACGCAAAGGTTTTCAGTTGACAGTTTTAACCCACAAAGTCATGAATCTGACCGGAATCGACAGAAATATTACGTTCTYCTGTTTTCTGGATGTAAGGAGCATCTGAACACGATGTTAAAAGTTTTTTTTTTTTAGTTTGAGCTTTGCTTGTTTAAACTCTTAACGATCATGAAACTGATCGCCGGGACTGAAAATCATTTAACCTCAGACAAGAAAATAGATCAGCCTAAAAAAGATCAAAAGAACCTCAGTCCAGTCTGTAAACTTTAAAGATTTTATATTGTTGTCACATAGTTGGAAACACACACAGAGCGCAGGCCTGCGAGACACACACAACTGAGGAGAATAAAATGTGTGAATTTTCTTAGAAACGTTTTAATTCTCACTGAAAAAAAAACTGTCAACTCAGCAGATTAATTCAGAACAGCTCAGCTGTGATGATTCCTCAGCTCCACAAGATGCAAACAATAGATTTGTTGCTGCGTAAAGTTGTGCGTAATTTATGGATCAATGTTGGCTGTTGTGCAGGTTGATATCACCACAAGAAGAATTGAGAACAGCGTGGTTTTTTTGTGTTTGTTTTGTTTTATTTTTGTTTTTTTGTATCACACTGAACAAATTACAATCAGGTATTTTACTGTAGTTCTGAGCAGAGTCATGCAGCTGAATGAGAGAATTCATGATTCTAAAATATAAATCACACAGCAGCAGAAACGCTGCGACTCGTTTCTTCACATCAACTATTTCATAAATATTTTTCTAATTTCTACCAAACTCATAAGTTTCTCTGTTTACAGTCATTTATTAAAGACGTGTAAAGGTAGAAATGTCTCTCAGCCACGTACACACACACACACACACACACACACACACACCTTTGTTTGGCAAACACAGTTTTGCACTCCACTACTTATTTAGACAGTTTTCTCACTCTTTCTCCATTTATTGTATAATTTTCCTGCATCTAAAAATAATTTCTGATCCCACAGAGAGGACAATCTGAGGAGAATCTCACACGCTGGACACATTTACATCTATTTTACAGATTTAAATGGAGGCGTGTCAGGGGGGAGGTGTCTCAGGTGCGCTCAGTTCCACATTCATTGGGACTTATAAAGGAAAGGTGCACAGGAACCTGCGTGYGCAGTTTTATACATCAGAATTTTTTTGTGCAGTGCACTTTGCTAAATTTGTACCTACGCCAACTTTTAGTATGAAAGCTGCGCACTCCTTTATGTGTGAGGCCCCTGGTGCCACACTCTAATCAGCTAATTAACTCAAACCACCTGCAAAGGCCTTTAAATGGTCACAGCCTAGTTCTGTAGGCGACACAATCATGAGGAAGACTGCTGACTTGACAGTTGTCCAAAAGAAGACCACTGACACCTTGAACAAGGAGGGCAGGACACAAAAGGTCATTGCTGAAGAAAAAAGTGTACAGGCATAATAACCTCACCCTGGAGTGGAGTGTGAAACAAAACACATTCAAAAATGTGGGAGAGATTCACAAAGAGTGGACTGATTTTATGACCAGCACTATGTGGGTCTAAACTTTGGCTGGTTTTGCACACGTTTGTCTTGTCTTTTGTGATGCTACTGAAATGACCATTTCTTCTAGGTGTCACCAAGTTTTTGTGAGTACTTCCTCACTGTGCGTGTGTTTTCTTGCAGGACCCCGATTAGACATGGACCCTGACATTGTAGCTGCTCTCGATGACGACTTTGACTGTGATGACCCAGACAACATTCTGGAGGATGACTTTATTGTGAAAGCAAATTGTGTAGATGGAGGCTTGGATGCAGAGTAAGACCAGAAATATGAAAGTTATGGAAGTTCTCATTATTTTTATTTTTACCTCAGGTCTTGATGAATCAACCAATTTTTTATTGTTTTTGACTCCTCAAAGGGTTTTAGTGGAAAACATTTTTTAAACTATACAGTGGCTTGCAAAACTATTCATACCCCTTGAATTTTTCCACATTTTATCACATTGCATCTACAAACATAAATACACTGCTCTTAAAATTAAAGGGAACACTACAATAACATCCAGTTAATTAAATATTCTCATTGACAGTATTATTATTACAGTGGAATTCATTGAGAAGAAAATATCACAAAAAGTATAGATGTAAATCAAAATTATTACACCATGGACATTTGGTTTGGTTTACTTATTTGCACTCACAAAAGAGGGAAAAGAAAGAAATAGAAAACTTTAAAAATACAAGAAAATACAAAGATAAAACAAAATGTGCAGGAGAGGTTAAAAAAACCTAAATGGGCTGACACCCCCCACCCAAATAAATGAATTTTAACAATTAAATAAAATAAATCAATTAAACCTACATAATCACAGTTCTTAAGCTGAACAGAAACAATATTAAACTCACACAATTCAAAAAAGATAAACAAATAATAAAAATTCAAAGCTTTCTTCCAACATTTTTTTAAATACAGATAAAGTTGAACATGTTAAAGCTGTTTGATTCAAACTATTCCACAACTCAACACCTTGATGTACAACAGAAAATCCAGCAACTGTCGTTCTACACTATGCAACATGTAACTTGTGCCTTCTTCTTGTGGAATATGAATGATAATCAGAATTAAAGTCAAAATAATTATGAAAATGCTTTGGTAAAGATAATGGAGAGCATATAACTTTATACATAAAAATTGGTATTTATTTACTTTATATATTGATAATATGTGTAACTTTTTAAACAGAGGTAGAGATGGAGCTAAATACAGTGAGTTACTTGCAATTCAAACAAGAGATTTTTGAAGTAAATGAATTGTTATGAGATGTGATGGATAAGTACTAGCCCAGATTAAATTACAATAAGAGATGAAAGGATAGATTAAACTGTAATACAAAATTAGTAAAGTATGTAATTTTAAGCAAGGTTTAACCTTTTTTATAATTCCTAGAGATTTTGAAATCTTTTTGCGTACAAATTCACAATGATTTTTAAAGCAAAGTCTATCATCAATATTGACACCTACAAACTTTGCCGATGAGACATTAGAAGACATTAGAGGTCTGARTTTGGATTCATACTCAATTTGAAAGTGGGAAATAATGTGACAGGCTGATTTAAAGACAGTGAATATTCCTCAAGACAAGTCTAAATGAGGCTCAGTGGTAGGGATGGGTGATATCTTATCGTGTGCGATATACAGTATCATCAAAAAAATTCACCATGGTAATAATTTTTTTGTTTACTCAGAGTGGACGTCGACCCGCGGAGCATGTGCTAAAGTAGTAAAACTAAAAATCTATCATAATGACTCTCAGCCTGCAAAAAAGCAGTCAGTCATCTAAAAACTCTTTAGAGTTCAACAATATGTTAAAAAAGGCAATAGGAGGGGCAGCTGCAATTTGTTGGACCCACAGAAAAACACAACTCCTCCATCTCCTCTCTGTCCCAGCCAGGCTGCAGGCAGCGGGGCTCGTTTCTCTCCACACACACAACTAGCTTCCCCTGAACATTAACCCTTTAGGTCACAGATATTGTAGCTTTATCTCTAAGAGCAGCAAAACAAATTATTTTCAGTGATTRGTTAAAAAGTCTTTTCTTATAGTTTTATTTTTTTATGGCATTACTGATATTTTAAAAGGGTTAGAGTTCTTCTGAGATTTTACAAAGATAATGATTAGTGCAAGAGGATGTGATTTGAAGGTTTTATTAAGGCTGAAACGTTTCGTCGAATAATTCGAGTAATTCGATAACAAAAAATTCTCGAGGCAAATTTCTCTGCCTCGAAGCTTCATAAAAAATACATACTGTTATAATCAGCGCACTTTCATCCGCCCGGAATGTTACTTGTGTAACACACAATGCTACGATGTTGGCGTTTCCGCTAACAGTTAAGGCTCCCACATACTCAAGTGCACACGGTCCGAGGAGGTCCGAGCGGACTCGAGCACACTTATATGGTTGGCCTAGGGTACAAATACACCTCGCTGCAGCCAAAGCGGATGTCTGCCGGACTGGACCGCGCAGAGATAATTTTTTTTCACGTCCGCGTATGCATACTCAGTGTCGCACAATAAACAGCCCGGTGAGAAAAAGGACCTCGGACTGTCGACGCATCACGCACGTATGCTTGCTAAGCACTATATTTAGCTTTAGAAGAAGACGAAGAGTGCCGAAACGAAGCGCTCAGAAAACAAATTATAAAAAGCATGGGAACATTTAAAACTAAACAGAAAAGACGACAACAAGCAATGCTCTGCACATCCTCGGTGTCTCTGCATCGGAACAAAAACAGCGGCTGCATGACCCGAACGCATCCGAGGTACAACAGGTACTATATTTGTTACTTTCGCTTTGGTTACCTAAATCTGTGATAATCTGTCAGGTTACAGATGTACAAAGAGGAGGTATATTTAAGCTAACGTTATCTGTGCTGACTAATCATGGTGACCTGGCAGGGTTTTATTAAACAGTGTGTAAGCTGTGTGATTAAAAACACTTACTGTAAGTTTGCCAGATAAAAATAAAAACACAACAGATCGACAGCTTGAGCTGAAACACTTATTTGTTGATATGCTTTTATCTTAGTTTGAAAGATACTTGGAGTAAATATTTCAAGTTTAAAGGTATGTACAGAAGATAATTGGATTTTTTTATTATTTGCTCCTGCTTTTTATGATTTTAGCCTTCATTACTACTGTCATATTTGTTTAAGCAGTCAAGACTAAATCTTTTATTGCCTAAATGGGAGCCCTGCATCAACCTAATAACAGTCTTAAAATATTTTTTTGTTACAATTAACAAGTGAACTCTACAAAACTCAATATTAACCATTTTACTTATTAAATTTCTAACAAAAAAAAGAGACATTCCATTTTCCAGTCCATAATAAATTTACAGCATTTAGATTTTTCAGTGATGGTTAAAAGGATTCAGTGACAGAGTGCTTTTAATTAATGCCTCCTTAAATCTTACATTCATAAATACAAACAAGTGGAGCTTAAAATGCATTAATTAATACAACTGGTGTAATTTGACTTTGATTGCAGCAGGGTCATCAGCAGATGTATATTGCCCCTTCACAATATTAAATAATTGTATTTCTCATAAAATAAGCTTAATTAATTACTGCAGAACATGACAAATTTTTTTCATATCCGATTACTTGATTAACTGTCAGAATAATCGATAGATTAATCAATTACTAAAATAATCGTTAGCTGCAGCCCTAG